TATACAATATATAAAATTAATATATATTATAAATTAAATAAATATATTAAACTTGTTATTAAAGTGGTTATTGAAAGATGTGATTATTTTATCTGAAAGTTTTGATTTTTATTAAACAATCAATTATATCCGTCGTGATAAAAGAATCTGCGCTTGAATATAACGAGTTTTGGTACTCACATAAAAATCGCCTGTACCCAAGTACAATTCGGTTGCTTCTATCCATAAGGCTAGAGCGATCGTGAATAACGTATAGACTAAAAGACCGTTTAATAATTTTTTTTCCCTTTTTGACTCGGCGGGCCAGTAACCGATAAGCTTCATTAAAATTCTCGCCAATCGTATCGACAGATATTTATCCGTCCTCATCGTCGCCGTCGTTCACCAACCGTCAATTCTACGGTTATGCTGTATTAACGAGATTCGCGGTATCGTACCCTACAATAATAGATATAGAGATACGTAATAGCGGGTATACGTGCCACGGCAATTGCGGCACACGATCTTTGATCGAGTTATTTCTCCCCCCTCTATTATCTTAGCCTATTATCACGCTGTATAGGAGAGAGTTAGAAGAACTGCATTATTACAGACCACACATCCTTCGCCCTTCTCGCGGAAAAGAATACGCAATGTAAAGACATATTTGAATTAGAATTGTCTAAATAATAAAATAAAAGAATAAAAAGAAATGCATCGATATATAAAAGACGTGTGCATTCTTTAATCTTTTGTTTTTACAGCTGTTATATTCGCAAGATTCTAAAAAGAGATTTGCAAAGAAGTAGAGATCACAAAAGAAAGGAATAAAAGAGTGCTATGCTGCGTTTGTAAAGATCGTGAAAAAGTGCCAGTCGAAGATCGCTGTCGCTAACAATAAGTTGCACTTCGTGTCCGTATTTTATAAAATTCTCGACACGTAACACATATATTACATATTACTAACATTTCGTGCAACGGCAGCAATCGCGTAATTTAAATTCTCCTAAACCAACAAACGCGTGTTTTGCCAGATTAAGTACAGAAATTTAATTAGCTCAAGAGGGAATCAAACATGGAACACACATTGCTCTAGACTTTATACTAATGAAGAAAGAATTATAAAAGGAATACATCTAAACTTTTGGGAAACAGTTCCGTCTCGTTTTGCAGGTTCCAAGGACTTCAAGGTAGGAAACAGAACCTCGTTACAGAAATCCATTTTAAACATAAATTTTAAATTTTATTTTAATCAAAAATCAAAAGTTAAATGTACTAATCTAATAAACGATTATTATTCTGTATCGGCAGCCATCTATTTTATAACCTGCTCTTTTTCTTTCTCTCTAATACTTTCTCTTTAGTAGAATTTTGGAGGAACTGCCTAGACAACCGGACATATATAATGTACATACAGGTTTATTTCGGTGCGAAGTCTAAGCGCTTATTCTGCACTTCGGCGAACATGATGTATTGTATGACCTGATTTCCGGTCGTTTGCCGCGTTAGCATTTTTACTTTACATTTACAAGGAGAACCCAAAGTATGCCCTCCGTATTCTTGAATGAAATTTTGTATGTATATAGCAAAAAAATATGTACAAATATTTTATATATGTAAAATATTTTTGCTTAAATACACATAAAATTTCATTCAAAAATACGGAGGACATGCTTTGGGTTTCCCTTGTTAAAGATATTCTCAATTTCTAAAAGAAAATAAAATTAAAAACGAGAGAGAGAGAAAGAGAAAGAAAATTATAATCATTTGTATAACATTTTGTCTAATTAATAATAAGAAACACGGAAGCACGTAGTTTTATTTTATAGGGCAAACGTCTGTGTTGGATTGCACTTGATAAGAGATCTTGGTTGCTTCATAGAACGAGAATTTTGTAGCGAGTTAACGGATATCTCTAGTTTTTCTGCGTTAATTTTCTCACGTGAGATATACAAGTCCAGAATTAGACCAACAAATTTCAGATGATTATAAAGGACACCGAACAAGCCAATTTTGCCAATAAACCCGTGTCCACAAAAATGAGCCATTTTGGCACTAGAGAGTCAAAAACTAACAAGGGTAAAAATCTTTGAAAAAATTATTTTTTCAAAATTTTATTAATATGGTTAAATAGAAGTGTTTTTACCATAAAACTTCTGTATAAAACATTTTTTGATATCTCGAATAATTTTCGAGATGTATCGAGAAAAGCAAAAAGCCGCTCTACGTACGAGGGATGATTTCACCCCATAGAATCGTTTTTGGGCTGCAACTGGAAATTTCTAAATTCATCTATTTACTCTCTCTACATGTGTGTAAAGTTTCATAAAAATCAGAATTTCTGATCGGGTTTATCACGGGTTTATTGACAAAATTAGCTTGTTTTGACGTCCTTTATAACCACCTGAAGTTTGTCGGTCTAATTCTGGGACATCCTGTATATAATTATAATTTATTTTTTTTTACTGAACGTTTTATAATTCTTTTTATTTGTCGAAAAATTTCTCAAGTATTCTGTGTGCGAGTTTTGTTGAATTTTCTCTTCAACTGCCTCTGTTTCAGTTTAACATTTCATCATCGCAAACGTTCTTTGCGGTCGTGGGGGAGTTGCGTTTCACCTGCTACATCGCACATTCTGTTGCGGTTAGCCAAATTAAGCCTGGACTTTTCGACAGGTGCCCACCTTGCAGTGTGCGGTTGGACCTTCGAAATGTGCGTCAGAAGTGAGTATCGATCTTGCCGATGTTAGCGAGATCGACGAGGAGTTAGCGAGTTTCTTTTAGATGAGTAACGTGATACATTTTAACGCAAGTCGCGTGTCTGTTTTGTATTTAGTTTCTTCTTTAATTTCGTCCTTGTTACTCCTCTTCACGTTAAATTAGAGTTCCTTTTCCGCCCCGCCTGCGTTTGCTCAGTCTCGTCATTATTCGCGCTGCTTGTTCGCGTGGATTTTTATTTCGTCTAGTTCCATTTAAAGTTTGACTGTCTTTTTCCAGTTGCTCGTTTAGCGATCAATATATCTCGCGAATATTTTCCGCTTTTCTGCAGCAGTTGCAATATTTGCCGATCATGTTAATGATTTCGTGCAGTTAAATTTTCTATGTAAAGAGAAGATGAGAGAAAATGCATGTCTCTTTGAATTAATAATTATGGACAGGAGATATCACACAGTTGAAAAATTCGTGTTAAATTTAGCAGATATCACGTGTCCCAAAAGGTCCACACAAATTTTTGTATTAATTTAACATAATATAAATATGTTAAATGATGACACTAATACTATGTTAATATTTTAATACTATAAATAAATGCAAACCTCAAAGTAATTTGAAATTATTTTGAAAAAATTGGTAAATTTTGTGTAAAATCAACATATTTTTAATGATAAAATTAATTTTAAAAAATGTTATTGACAGTCTGTAGTTACTCTCACTCATATTGTAAAATAAAATCATTTTTTTCTGTAAATTTAAACAGATAAATCCTGTCACTAATGAAACGGAACATATCTATTGTGTAAAATTAAAAATATATGTATATTGTGTTATTTTTACTCTTTTTCAGTTGTTTTAATAATTTAACACTTGAATTCAATTAACACAACAGCAATATGTTAAATCAACACATGTATTAAATATTTAACACAAAAATTTTAACCGGCGTATTTTTTAACAAGAAAACACTAAATTTCCAACTGTGCAGGATAATCAATTATATGAAGAAGAGCATACAATGGAGATATATATTTTATTGTATATATTTTAATGTTCTTTTTTTGAGAAAATACGTATACTTATACTCGCAACTCGATACATTTCAGCTACACGAGAAGCGATTCGGCATTACCACGGCGTTTGCTATAAAAATGCTGGACAAAAGGATAATTAGAATTTATTGCTACTTCGATCGGTGGACAGAGAACGTGCGCCTCGGCTGATGGGCGTGATAACGCCAAATCGCCGGTCGTTTACATACCATCTATATATGTATAGATATATATATGTATGTATATACATTTATTCGCAAAACATGTACAACAAACAGAGACTATCTTTCGTAGTATTTACGTATATTTGACTTAAAAAAAAATACGGCAAGTATTTCGTATTATTTTTGTCAATAAGTGAAGAGGCGTCGACACTGGTAACATCTTGATTGGTACATTACACATACACACTCTCTGATACAACGCTAAAACACTTATCAATTTCACTCTCGCAATCTTGTCTCCTTATCTAGTATGTTTCTATTATTTCATTGTTATACAGATAACGCTGCCTATCCATATAACGCGTAACCGTCAAAGCAAAATAACGGAAAGAGAAGAGAGATGACGTATCTTTCAATGTTATATGTATATTTGCTAAGAGGATTTAACATTACAGGTGGATTCTCTCAAAAGCGCGAGCGTAAATCGAACCATCCGTATTCGACTTTAAATCGGCAACATGTGCAACAAAAGTGTCAATCTAACCGGTGTAATACTGCAAATTTTCAAAAGCGATATTACACTCTTTACGATATTATTGTTAGATTAGTGCAAAAGGGGGATATTGTATCAAGTTCGATTTTAAATAAAATTATCTATTTAAATGTGACTTAAAAAGAACTACATGTGCGAGAAAGAAAAACGTTTTTTTTTTCAAAACGGAAAATGCATTAAAATTAATAGTGGCTATATATTAATAAAAAAAACTGCCCCTTGTTTTAATTTTATCTTTAAAAAATTTTAAATAAAATTATCTATTTAAATATCATTTTAAAAAAAGAAAAACTACATGTGCGAGAAAGAAAAACGCTTTTTTTCAAAACGTGAACAAAAAATGCATTAAAATTAATAATGACTATATATTAATAAAAAAAGCTGCCTCTTTTTTTAATTTTATCTTCAAAGAATTTTAAATAAAATTATCTATTTAAATGTAACTTAAAAAAAAAAAAAAAAAATTACATGTGCGAGGAAGAAAAACGCTTTTTTTCAAAACGGAAAATTAAAATTAATTAAAATTAATAGTGACTATATATTAATAAAAAAAGCTGCCTCTTTTTTTAATTTTATCTTTAAAAAATTTAACGACAAAATACCAGCTTTCTCACTAGCCTGAAAATTTATGATTACAGTAAGCGCTCGCCGAGAGTAACGTTCATAAACATACACACACGCGATTTTCGCACAAAACTGTGATAGTATTTTTTTATACAAGAACAAACAAAGTATCGGAATGTACAAAGGCATCATCTCTACGAACAAACGTGCACTTTCGGTATCTCGACATGAAAATCTCTTTCGCGTCATCAAACTCCGCTGTTTCATCATTAGATATACTCGGCTATTTTGCGTAGCCATCGCTAATAATATAACCGTAAATACGTTCTGTTAATTAAACGTTTAATTCGCATATCCTGCTTGAGAAGCGAGATTATTACGCGTGTCATAACAATAGGGAGTGTCTCGTTCGCGGTTAATAAAACGTAGTATACAACAGAATGCTTATAAGTCTATCGATAGTTTACGTTATCGCTGATTTCCCTCGCATATCTCACGCGCCATCAGAAAAAAAAGCTTATATGAGACAATGGATTAACCTTTCTGAGGCGTCGGCATCGCAGATTCTCTAGGTAAATTCTCGCTGTCTCTCTCGAAATTAATTTTACACGGTATCTTCTCGACGTATCTTTGCAAACAATTCATCGATATATCGGCAAATTAATATTATATAAAAGATTTATGGTAAAAGTATTCTCTCTCTTTAATACAACTTGAAGAATTATGAAGAATTATATCTTCTTCAGCTTGCATCTTTTTTTTTTTTTTTTTTTAAATTGTTAGTATAGTTTATGCAGAACTTCACCCTCTCCCCCCTTCCATAAATCTTTTGTATAAAATTTTTCTCAATGACAAGAGTTGAAGTTAACGAAGTATTATTTATCAAGTTTACTATACATTTATTTTTGAGACGCTAGTCTGAACATCACGGCTCTAGATTTTAAACGGCGCTTACATCTCTGTATTATCGTAAGACTTTAATGAAATTATCGTGCGATGGGAACCGATCGCAAAATAGAAATGTGCGACACGCGATAAGTCGTTGTGATATAAGGTCGTGGTAACACAGTTTGATGAAATCCCTAACGGACGTCCGCGATATATAATTTACCACCGCGTACAAAACGCATTATTCGGAAGTTCATCAAGTGTGAGGTATTATTACAATTATAACAATTTTTTTTTTTCGTTGCGATCATGGCAAGATCATGAATTTCCGAATACATATTACTTACGGAACAATATAACGAAATTTATAATTGGCATCGAAAGAATCGAGATAAAAACTCTTATTTGTTATCGGACGCATTGCGGAAATCACTGAAAAAAGTGTCCCGACTATTTCAATGCCAACTGTGCTATAGGAGCTGCGATCAAATAGTTTCCGAACTAATCATGCGATTATCTCCGTTTGTACAAGATGTCCCAGAATTAGAACAAAAAACTTTAGGTGGTTATAAAGGACATCAATACAAGCCAATTTTGTCAATAAACCCGTGGCCGCAAAAATGAGCCATTTTGGCACTAGAGAATCAAAGATTAACAAGGGCAAAAAAACCTTTAAAAAATTATCTTTTCAAAATTTTATTAATGTGGTTAAATAGAGGTGTTTTTACCATGAAACTATTGTATAAAACATTTTTTGATGTCTCGAATAATTTCCGAGATGTATCGAGAAAAGCAGAAAGCCGCTCTACGTATGAGGGGTGATTTCAGCCCTTAAAATCGTTTTTGGACCGCAACTGGAAATTTCTAAATTTATCTATTTACCCCCTACATGTGTGTAAAGTTTCATCAAAATCAGAATTTCTGATCAGGTTTATCACGGGTTTATTGACAAAATTGGCTTGTTTTGACGTCCTTTATAACCACCTAAAGTTTGTCGGTCTAATTCTAGGACACCCTGTATAACAAGTTTCTCGTATCACTCGAATTATTCAAAGCAATATTTTTTTATTTTTTTTTTTTTCTACACCTAAATACCTTAGATAACCAATAAAAGTAATTAGCGTTAAGTCCAAGGATCATTTGAAAAAGACGTAAAGAGTATGTATGTGTGAGAAACCCTCATCACCGAGATTGTATGGATCTTCTCTTCCGCCGTTAAGAGTTAATATCTAACGAGATTACTTTGAAGAAGATAATCGTGAATAGGATTAGTCAATTACTTTTTATAGTGTCAGTCCGGAAACTTTTTGATTGCATCCTTGCAAGTCTCGGTGAAACAAGACTTAAGTAATGAGTATGAATTAGGGCTATAAATGTTCGAATAATCCCGTGTTATTCGGATAAATCGAATAAACTTTAATACGTAAAACTTCTGATGAAATATAATTGAATATTTTTTAAGTAACTGAATATATATCAAGTATCAGTTATATTCTCTCTCTCTCTCTCTCTCTCTTTGTATTGTATTATTCGTTTATTCAAATATGTACAGTTAGATTGGTCATAAATATCACAAATATCTAGTAAATATCGAAATATACGGATGATAATTTAATCATCTAAAAATGTGTGTGTATTCTTGAAATACTTGAATTACTCGACCATTCGTTTCATGTCTGATAGAATTATTTGAATCTCTCAAAATTTAATCGATGACACGCCCGCACACACACATACACATCCAAATATTCAAATATTTAAATATATCGGCATTTTAAATCGGCTTTATATATGTAGCCCTATTACAAATGTTTTCCTTAAATGTATTACAACATTTCCTTGCATATGTATCTAATTTACAAATGTAATTTTTATCGCCCTAATTATATAAGATATCTATTATATCCGATAAATGCGCCATGATGTATCCGAGACAGTTTAACAAGAACGCAAAAATTCTTCCAGCGAATTCATGACCTGTGTCTCGCACAATTCTTCGGATGATAATTTAATCATCTAAAAATGTGTGTGTATTCTTGAAATACTTGAATTACTCGACCAATACGTTTCATCTCTGATAGAATTATTTGAATCTCTCAAAATTTAATCGATGACACGCCCGCACACACACATACACATCCAAATATTCAAATATTTAAATATATCGGCATTTTAAATCGGCTTTATATATGTAGCCCTATTACAAATGTTTTCCTTAAATGTATTACAACATTTCCTTGCATATGTATCTAATTTACAAATGTAATTTTTATCGCCCTAATTATATAAGATATCTATTATATCCGATAAATGCGCCATGATGTATCCGAGACAGTTTAACAAGAACGCAAAAATTCTTCCAGCGAATTCATAACCTGTGTCTCGCACAATTCTTTCATATTAACGTAAACTTCTAAACATCGGAAAGTGACGAAAATCCGTTAAAGCGTGTGCGTACAAAAAATATTTCGTTCGCGATCGACGGGACCGATAATAACGATTAACAATCTACAGTATGAAAAAGAGATTTTTTTTTTTTTTAAAGACGGAAGGACAAACGTGGATAAACGTGGTCTGCGTATATATTTAATAACAACAGTGGAAATACATGTAATGCATATATGCAGACGGAGCGAATGTACATAGACTCACCCACGCTGGATCCTTACATGTATGTACTATGTGTGTGTCATATTCATTGCTCGAACACTCTTAAATTTTTTTTTCGCCCTTTTATACATACGTATACAATCGCAGATATTATTGCCAGTCGACATAATTTCGATGAATTGAATTGCCGATGCTATCGAAAAATGGTGTGTCTACGGCAAAGTTGAACTTGGCGAAATATTATATAAGTTTCAAGTCCCAAGATTGTTCTTACGCCTTTCTCTCTCTCTCTCTTTCTCTCTTTCGAGTTCTTCAATCAGCTGTCGTTAATGGTTGCATTTTACGTCGCGTCTCTTATGTGTCTCTCATTCAATTTTATTATCGCCATTACAAACCTAATCGCGCCACCGCTCTCGACTTAGTGGCGACGTCACGCCACTAAGGTGGATATGAATTTGACCAGCGCCTCGGGACCACCGTGTAATATAATTCGTACGTACGTGTAACACCAACGATTCACTCTCTCCCTCGTCTCTCGTATAAAAACTTTACGAAAATAATTGCTTTATCGTAAAATCCGGCGATTCATGCTTATCGATTTACAACTATGAGGATTCAGAATGATTCCGCGCCCCTTTTTCCCCATCCCCTTTCCCAAGGAGAGCGCAAAGCGCGCTCGCGAAGAAGTCGATCGTCGTGAAATCTTAAAATGTATAACGAGCAGGTAATTGCGATTGCTCGCGTTATAAATCGCGCAAAAGTTTCTCGATTCTTCGACGGATAATTCCTCACGCGACAAAATAACGAGCTATGACACAAGCGTCACGTAGCTTCGGAGAATCGCCCTCGGGACGATTTAGACAAATAACGCTTGTGCAAACGCGGTACAAACGCGAAAAATTATACGGGAGAAGATCTTATCAATTAATCCATTCTACAAATCGAATCGCCCACTCAACGGCCAATATTTTTTCCGAATAAAAGTGCAAGAGAGAGAGAGAAGCATCTAAAAAAAATCTACCAAAAAAACATTGAAAAATAAGACGCCTTAGTGATGTCTCACACATTCGCGTAAATCTCCTCTATTATATTTTGAACAAGCTGTAAATATCTAAACGACAAAAGTACCAACTCGATTAACGTCTCTCGGTAAGAAAATATATATATACGTAATCCTAGTGTATATGTAATTTTAAGTACATACAGTAGTAAATTGCTGACCTACATGTGGAGGTAGTGTTTACAAAGAGTCGATTAATTCATTTTTTTTTACTGTCCAAACAAATTCTTTCTCCATTCTGTCATATTTCTAGAATGCAGTGTCGGAGAAAGAAAGACGCATCGATATAACAATGTGGCTCTTACAAAGAATCACGCTTTTTTACCAGGAAGGCCGGCAAAAATATAAACAAATTACCCTTCTGTGAAACTGTATATGAATCAACCCGCGTGAGAATAAAATGAGATATTTTACAATCTCTCGCGCGATCTACATCTTTTGATCCGTAATCGAAAATCCGATGGACCGAAATCGATTCTTACGCCACGCCGCATTTGCCGTCCGCGTCGATTCCTCTGCTCGATCGAGCGCACCGTAAAGTGGTGCCTCTACACGCCTCCACTTCCGCCCCCCTTAATTACGCGACTACTCCGCCGATGAGTGTCGCGCGCACCGACTAATTGTCTATCATGAGCCGCGGTGTTTGCCGTCGACAGACAACGAGTCGACTCGCGCGCATCCGCTCGCCCGCGAATCATCATCCCGAGTCATCATCTCGAGTCATCATCCCGCCACTCTGCGCTGTCGCGCTAATTACGTGGCCGACGGGCAAAGGATGATGCATACACCGTCGCAATAGTAACAAACTCGCACGCTTTAATTGGTAGATCTAACAAACTACCTCTTCCCTGTATCATCTCTTCAAAATGGCGTACAAATATCATCAACATAGATAAGAAGAAATCGTAAGGTTCGTTGAAGCGTAATGCCGTCGTCGCGTCTCTCTTCAAATGATTCCGGAAAAAGCTACAGACACGTATCGTGTCGTATCTAAGCGAACTTGTCTTAACGACTATTGTATTACATGTACGCAGTGGTTACATTGTGACAAAATCCAAAAAACCGACGACAATAGCAACGACGACGACTGTCGTCTCTGCCGCGGAAACTGCGCGTCTTCATTACTGCCTTTCTAGAAATCTCTCAATCATCAGTCGCTGATTTCCGGCCCGAAGTAACAATCGTGTTGATCATCCGAGTGACCCGTAATTTTCGGACCGGCTGACTCTGACTAGATCTCGGCTTCAACCGCGCGTTGACAGGAGATCCGTCAAATACAAAGGCCGCCACGTCCTCTCTTCTCTGTCCAGTTTATCCACCGCGTCGAGCGGGTATTATTAAATCTGCGCAATAAAACGAGACCACCTCGGGGCATCCTCGGCTCGCACGACCGCGATTACACACCGGTGTGGTTGAATATGTAGGAGACGTTGCTGTCCTGGTGGACCGGTGGCCCGTGCCAGGCGCGTCTCGTCGACGAATTGTTGTTGTTGTTGTTGACGTAATAGGAGGACTTTCTCATGCTCGTCGAGGAGGACATCATCGCGACGGTCTCGTAATACCTGAGCTTGCCGCAGCATCGACCGCTCTTGAGGATGGCGATGAAGCCGCGCCGGTACTTCTTGTTGAAAAAGGCGTAGAGGATCGGATTTATGCAGGAATTGCTGGCGCCCAGCCACTGGGCGATCGGCGTAGCAATTGGCAGGATTTCGTCTTCTTCCTGTATAAAGTTGCCGCCCAGCTTGATCACGGCGAAGATCACGTAGAGAGGCAGCCACGAGAGAACGAAGAGGATGACGACCACGACCAGCATCTTGACCACCTTCACCTTCGACTTCTGCTGTAATCTCTCCATCTGGGCGTCTTTGGTGTCGGTGGGTATATGCCTGCGCCATACCTTGATCCATATGAGAATGTAGCAGAGAGATATGAGAATCATTGGCAGCACGTAGCAGAGGATCAGATTGCCGATCAGGAAGTAGAGCCTGCCGTCCTCGGGATGCGGCCACATTTCCAGACAGATGCGCGTTTCGGGCTCGTCTTCGTAGATGACCAGATCGAAGAACAGCAACCACGGTGACGTCATCGTCAGAGCGATGAACCAGATCACGACGATCATCAAGCGGGCCCGTCGTTTTGTGATTTGGCATTTTAGCGGCCACCAGATCGCCAAAAACCTGGAAAACGTACATCAATCAGCTGTATAATACCTGTCAATCTTTCTTCCGAATCTTCGAAAATTAACGCGTAAATAAATTCCGTATTTTTTTTTCTCTACTTATATTTTTGCGTTTATTTAATTTGACTAAATTCAAAATTAGAGAAAATTTAGAATTTTATAGAATCTAAATATTCAGTAGAAAAATGATTTTAAAACAATTTATATTTGCTTTGCTTAATAAATAGTAGTTGAAATTATTCGGAATAGTATATGGGATAAAATATCAAGGAAATTGACATAATATTAATTCATATTTAAAATATAAAAATTTAATTTTAATTGTTGAATCAAGTAGTGGCTCGAATTATTAAATAAAGAGCCGATACGTCACATGCGTATAGCGGGAAAACGACGTTTATCGCGGGGAGATCTGAAAGGTGGGGCTAAAAGTTTTAAACGACAAAGCGGTTCCAAGCAAGTTTGATTATTAAAAAGCTTCTTCGTCACAATGATAAGTATCGAATAATATAATCGCGAATATAGATAACCGTCTGATTTATTGTATCGTTTCACGAAGAATGCAGAACGTGGCCGTTTTATGAGACAGGTGAATCAAGTAGTGGCTCGAATTATTAAATAACGAGCCGATACGTCACATGCGTATAGCGGGAAAACGACGTTTATCGCGGGGAGATCTGAAAGGTGGGGCTAAAAGTTTTAAACGACAAAGCGGTTCCAAGCAAGTTTGATTATTAAAAAGCTTCTTCGTCACAATGATAAGTATCGAATAATATAATCGCGAATATAGATAACCGTCTGATTTATTGTATCGTTTCACGAAGAATGCAGAACGTGGCCGTTTTATGAGACAGGTTCGGAAGCAAGCCCGCCAACTCGACGCCCGTTAACATTTTTAGATCTCGCATATGGAATTGCCGACAAATGTTCCATTCGCTCTTTCGAAAGACACTCGCGCCCGTCACGCTCCAACGGGCATGCAAGCCACTTGAGAATAGATATGCGCGGGAGAATATCTTTTATGTGACGCACGCGAGAGTTTGCTGTTCGACAAACAAGTCAAATTACCTAGGAAAGGTGCGTCAAAACATATGCTTTTATCGATATCGATTTGACTCGATCGCCTTGAATGAACAAATTAATTGCCTTTATTATTGTTGTAAGACAAACAACATTGCATCATTCTCTTGCATCCTCCCATTGCATTGAAGCTTCTTTTATAAGGGAGGTTTCTATAAAAAAAGGCTACTGTATAAATGTGTATGTATGTGTATACATAAATTAAAATATAATTAAAAAAAAATAAAAATATATATATATATATATATATTTAATCAAGATTATATTTGTCTTACTCTCTTGTGTATATATAATAGAAAAACACGAATGTAATATAATTTTCTAATTTAACGAGAAATATATACAGGGTGCTAAATTTCAAACATAACAAGCCGAATATCTCGATAACTAAATGAAATATCAAAGTCCGCTTCTTTTAGGTTGTATTGTTTCGAGGTGGACAAATTTTGATAAAAAAAATTTGATTTTGGATGGACACATAAAAAAAAACGGACCTTGATATTTCATTTAATTATCGAGATATTCGGCCTGTTACGTTTGAAATTTAGCACTCTGTATATGAGAAAAAATTTGCGATTTCCAAATAATGTGGAAACTGTCACTTAAATGTGTTGAGAAATGGAAAGAATGTTTTTAAAAGACATTCTCCCCCCCCCCCCTCCCCTCTCAATCCCTCTTTCTCTCTGGAAGAGCGATTATCCAATAATCCCCGAATGAGCACGCAAATGACGTTCACCCGTGTGTCTAACGGGATAAGAAGTCGCGAGATAGATCGCCCTAGAACAATAGCGACGGACGGACCATCGATCACGATTATAATGACGACAACGACGGCGTCGCGGAACGAGAGCAAACACTGCGACGTTACTTTCGTTTTGAAATTCCCATTAACCGGAAGTAACGAGGCGCGTTCAAATCCAGAGGCGATTCCAGATAAGACGCGAAGGGAGTCATCGCTTCTTATTAATTGAATGGCTCCCATCTTTGACGTCCGATAAATTTCTTTAATGAAGGTTCCGTGTAGAACTTCCGGATTCATCGGGTCGCCGATATTTTTCCGCGTCCCGTCTCGGTCCTCGACGCAGATCCTCGCCATCGCTACGCGCGATTACGAGCGTAGCGCCTCTTCTCCTTATCCGCGCCTTATCGGCACCATCGGCGTCTTCGGCGACCTTCGTCGATTCCATGAATAAACTTTTAATACTTGTCGTCGGAAGACCTTCGCATAAATCAACGCCGGCATCGATATCGATCTACGGGAGTTTTCACGGAACGCGCGTCGCCACTTCCGGAATCGTGCGGCGGCGCACGTATACGGCCGTGCTTATCGCGATAAAGGTGCATGTAATACAACGAACCTTCCCCGCGAGTCTCTCGTAACGTGAGCGACAAAGAGCAAAGTTGGAAAAATCGCGGCAATCCGCGATCGTTCCAAGGTCATCTATTGTCGCTCGAGGAGGGACGAGCACAATAAGAGGTATTCGCGATGATGATCCCGGGACCGAGCATCTATATAAAGGGATCGATTCCCCGCAGTCGCAACTGTAGTGTCGTCCTGTGCGTTTGCCAACGAAAAAAGCTGATAAAACGCTTAACATGTTCAAACTGGCAAGTATATCCATCTCGTGCACTGTGTGTGTGTGTGTATTCGATTTAATTCCAACCACGAGATATTCATTTCCGTGACGTTAATTTTTAAGTACCGTGACATGTCGCGGTAAAATTCTCGTTCAGCATCTAAACGCCATTATCATTACAATCTTTAATTTTCGATATAAAGACAGCTTTAAAAAAATTGACACTATACGAAAATTTATGTATAAATAAAATGGGTGGAGTTCCGAATAGGTGAACCCTCCGATTTTTTTGAAACTACACTATTTTTTGTATTTTTTAACGCTGATTACAAATGTGATAATGAAAATTTGCGACAAGGTCATTTTCAAGGTCAAAACTCAAAAAAACTGAAAAAATATAACTTTTTAGACATTATTTCAATAAATATTGATGTAACAAAAAAATGTTTCAAATAAAGGTTGCAGTTCTTAAAAAAATACATTATTTATGTTCTATAAATTTTTTGCGTGAAACTGAAAGTTTTCGAGAAAATCGATGTTAAAGACTAAAAACGGCGGGTGAAGTTCCGAACAGTGCTCACCTCTGATTTTTTTTGAAACTCAGTATTCTTACGTATTTTGATGCACTGATTACGAATATCATAATGAAAATTGGTGCATCTCTTATTTTCATAGTGAAAATCATGAAAAACCCATAACAATTTTAGATCTTACAGAGAAAAACATTTTATGTCCTATTAATTTTTACCGTACGATAGTTTTCAACAAAAACGATGGAATCTAAATCTTATATCTGTTCTCCCATCTAAGCATGTACTTTGCAGTACATATACGATTCCACATGGGTTTACAACTTTCCACGTAGAGCGAGGTTCCACGCAAACCTATTTGTCTAGTTTTTCGGAACTTCACCCGCCGTTTTTAGTCTTTAACATCGATTTTCTCGAAAACTTTCAGTTTCACGCAAAAAATTTATAGAACATAAATAATGTATTTTTTTAAGAACTGCAACCTTTATTTGAAACATTTTTTTGTTACATCAATATTTATTGAAATAATGTCTAAAAAGTTATATTTTTTCAGTTTTTTTGAGTTTTGACCTTGAAAATGACCTTGTCGCAAATTTTCATTATCATATTTGTAATCAGCGTTAAAAAATACAAAAAATAGTGTAGTTTCAAAAAAATCGGAGGGTTCACCTATTCGGAACTTTATCCAATAAAATTCTATCTTAAATCTCGTATCGCGAATTAAATCGTCTAAAGTGGGCTCAACAATCGAATACATTCCACGCCAGCGTCTGAGGATTGAAAAGTTGTTTGACCACCGTTAAATGTTTCTAACAAACGCAGCTGCAAAAGTTATATATGATTGTGTAAGCAGAGCGCGTTCGCGATATAAATTCGTCGAATTTCTCTCGAATCGCGATCGTTTGGACATTTCGTTTCACGAGGTAGCCTGTGAAATTTTTTTCTACATATTTATCCGCGGGAAACGTTATTGCGAGACTAAAACGCTCTAGAATCAAAATAATCCACGATAATTATTGAATTACCACAAGAAGAAAGAAAAATTACAAAGCGCCATTGCCACTGGTCTAGAAAGAAACGAAAAGGATCGACGCTCGTTCTTGGCACGTGTGATCGTCGCGGTGATTAATTGGAACGGAATGACATCGAGCTTGCAAGTCGCAAAAAGCGGGCCGATCAAAGTCGCCGGTGGAGTTAAACGCGCGTCACTTATTTGCTCAGGCACACTCCCGACATTTTTCATAACTCCCGTAAAAACGACGGGAAAATAAAGCCTCGGAGTTTGAGGGAAGAAAGGGATCGCGCGATTTTGCGACCATTTTTTTTTTTTTTTTTTTTTAACGCAATTATTCTTCGCAGATTCTAGCGATCGCGATGGTGGTGGCGGTCACGTGGTGCGCGCCAGCCCCGAAACCAGCTCTGTCACCGTTGCTGGCTCCATATCCCCTGGTCTACGCGTCGCCCTATGCAAGAGTCTATCCGTATTATCCGGCGGCGGTTCCTGTGGCGTATTACAACGGCTACAGATGGGTCCATCCGGGCTCGCTCTACGTCTACTGATATCGATTTCCGACCGCTGATCCATCGGGATCAACGTCAACATCGACGCGCGATGTCCCGTATATAACGTGGCACAGCGAGCCAAATAATTCTGCGTGAAATGTCTCGAATAAAATATTTTGTCGCAGTATGCTCGTTGACTTTATAAGAATTTTTCCTCTCCTAAGGCGCCGTTCTTGCCAGCGCGTCCCCAGCATCCGGTTAATTCTCTCAGTCTAAGGGAAGATGCTCTTATCCAAGTTTGGCAGACT